AGAGAGAGAGAGAGAGAGAGAGAGAGAGAGAGAGAGAGAGAGAGAGAGAGGAGGAGGTCTGGGCAGGAAGCAGCCAAGAGAAGAAGATGGTGGGTGGTGAAGTAGAAGGGAACGATGGTGGTAGTGGCGCCGCGGCGGCGCCATCAGCCAGCGAAAGTGGGGAGGGGTCGTGCGCTGATGAGAACCGAGATCGGGATGGGAATGGGGACGATGGCAGGGTGCTGTTGTACCACGAGCCGCAGGTGTCTCGTCTATGCGGCGTGCACTGCTTAAACACACTGCTTCAGGGTCCTTATTTCACAGAGGTGGATCTCGCGGCGATGGCGGAGGAGCTAGACAGGAGGGAGAGGGAGGTGATGATGGAAAGCGGAATGGAGTCACAGGAATATCTCCGATTTATTGCCGAAGGTTCTGGTAACGTGGCAGCTGATGGTGATTTCAGCATCCAAGTCTTGGAGAAAGCATTGGGAGTGTGGGGAATGCGTTGTCTTCCGCTGGATGTTCCCGAGGCGAGTGATGCCAGACTCGATCCTCAGGCCGAGCAAGCTTTCATCTGCAATCTGCAATCCCATTGGTTCACAATTCGTAAGGTTGATGGGGAATGGTATAATTTCAATAGCTTGTTCCCTGCCCCTGAGCATCTCTCTCAGTTCTATTTGAATGCGTACTTAGGTTCTCTGCAGCAGAGCGGATGGACGATCTTCGTCGTGAAAGGGGAGATACCGAACGAGATGGGAAGAGAAGGAGGGGGCCACGATGAACTATCTGGGAGTTATGGGCGATGGATGGGACGGAGCGAGGCGGCGCGATTGACAAAGGAGAACAAGAACATGAGGGATCGAGCAAGGCGCGCGCCTGTGGGGAACGACCTCCAGCTGGCGGCGGCGCTCAAGGCCAGCATGCAAGAGAGTAATCGGCAGGAAGAGAGGGGGGGAAGAATGACCATAGAAAACGAGGAGGAGGATGACATCGACGAGGATCTCGAGGCCGCCATAGCCGCCAGCTTGGCGGATGCGCTGCCGACGGCGAGTGGTGGCGGCGGCGGTGGAGGCGTCTCCTCCGGCGGCGACCGGTCGCGCGACCCCATGGAGATAGCGAGGGCGCTTGCGGAATCCTACCAGGCTATGGTCAACGCACGTGCCCCCTCAGGTATTACCGCCACGTGCGGTAGTAGTCTGAATGCGTCGTCTAGCGACTCGTTCACTTCTTCTCCGTCTTCGTGTTCGTATGTTTCTGCTTTGTCGTCTTTGGTGTCGAGAAGGGACAGAGGCGTGGGGGAGGGGGACGAGGAGGAGGGGGAGGATCGCACTGCTGGCGCTGCTGCCGGCGGCGGGTGCTGCGGGGTTGGCGAAGTGCAAGCTGTGGTAGCGGAAGGGGGTGGCGGCGGCGATGACGAAGGTAACCGAGGGGGGGATGGAAGAGGAGAAAGAGGAGTAGGCGGGACGGGCGGACGAGAGAGGGGGGGGGGGGGGGGGGGGGAGCAGACGGCGGTGGATAAAGCTCCCTTTCGTATCCCTGAGGAGCCGGCAGCAGACGCGGAGGGCTGCCTTCAGCTGGCGTTGCGCATGCCAAATGGCGCGCGAATATGTCGGCGGTTCTTGGCGGATGGGAAAGTGAAAGATCTC